CTTGAGAAAACAGACATTTCGCGGCACTACTAGGATGTAGGTAATGCTTCTAATTGGTCGTGCCGCTTGTGAAATTTGCTTTAACCAATCAGACGTACTGCCCAGATTTGGGTAGTGAGGCGTCATGACAGTGTGGATTTTCTGCTCTCGTTTCTCAGACGTCATTTCACGGGGAAACCGTTAGTGACGTCGCAATGTCGCCTTTTTTCTTAGGCTGGCGAAAGTAGAAGTAGACGACCTTTATTACACTTTTGCAGAGAGAGGTCTCATATAGTCCTATGAACTGGCGTAAGTTTGTAAGATGTATTACATTACGATCAGCAATATCATGTAATGCCATTATTTGAGTTCATTAAATGCAAATACTATTGCCCTTTATGTAACAAAGACACAAAGAGAAGAACAACTTATGAAGAACGATTTTTTTCTTTTCGAGAAACGAAACATTCTTATATAATTATTAACAGGAAAGGGTTTGCTTGTGGTACACTAAACTAAAATCTAACATGCCTTACAGACCAATTATCATTCAGTTACTACTTTAAAAACCTCTCAGAAGTTATGGATCAAATATTTTCAGTAGCTTTTCCATTCAAGTATTGGGTAATACACTAATAGATATTAAATGTATGTTGTAGGAGAGTTCATTTTTTTCACTTCACTTCTAGCTCGGGTGGAACTATTAACTACTTCTCATGACAACTTACTCTACACCAACCTTAAATTTATCAGTTTGTTTTGTATTCTATTTTCCTCCATTCTGAAGTAATGCAGTTGATGTAGGAAATAATATTTATAGTTGAAAGGCATTTAGCGACAAACTGCATGGGGTTAAAAAAAAATTAGAATGGAGGAGGGCGCAGTATATTCTAGTAGATTATGAACTAATGTATGACAAAAAACTAATGTATGACAAAAAATTCTACCAAATAGAAAGTTAATATAGTTTATCATGATATTTGACCCTCTAGTTAATGCTGAGCCTTGCATCGTACTCAAAACTGTTATATTGATTAATGGGACCGCTATCAGATCAAGTCCACTCTCACCCCACTTGTTGATGGACGCTTACAGAGACGTTTTTAAAGCAGGCAATCAAGAATAATTATGAGACTAGCTTTGATAACTTGGATAAGACGCTCCTTTAAATTCAGTACCAGGATTACGTGTTCCGTGTTCGGCTATCTGTGCAATTTAACAGTTTAAAGAGCTATTTGGTTTTGAAACCTACAAAGATAGCCAAATATTTCTTCACGTTCTAATGTAGTATTGTTTTTATTATAGCCCCAACCAATGATTCAGATATTGTTCAAGTCAATTTTTTTCTTACTTTTTTTTTGCTTAGCGAAAAATAAAACGACGTGGAGACAATCGGCAGAAACGGCTTATAGTGAATTCATTTCCAGCATATGCACATTCTTAGAAGGTTTTTTTTATTGTTTTAGAGCTTAAAAACTTCTTTATAGACGTGCACAATGAACTTTCTTCCTTTAATTTTAATTTTAGTCCCTATTTCCGTTTTGAGATTGTCTGCATAAATTGAAAGGTTTACATGTTGGTATTATCTTCAAAATTTAAACGAGCTTTATATAGTTACTGCTCTTAGAAGTGCATGCACCATGCTTGAGTAGAATTTTTGCTGGAGCATCGTTAATTTCAAGCATAAGGGTTTGCCTTCAAATAACAATTAGTGCGACATTAGATAGTTTTGGCCCACGAAATCAAGATGGAGTAAATTATTAAATTCGTTGCAAAGTGGAGACTGAAGTGCACGCGACATAAACAGAAGAAAGAAATGCACCAAACACCGACTGCGGCGGTGCTACTGATAGTCCGGCACTACAATATTAACACACATCTCCTGATGGACACCTGCAAAACGCGGTTAAAACGTTGTGATAGATATTAAGAAAATTGCTATCAAAAACAAGACAAACAATAAAGACGGCCTATTAAAACTCTTTCGATTCTTAAATCGCGTCATTTTAAAATATTCGTCAAAAGTCCTGACGGTATTTAATAGAATTAGTGCAAATTCGGACTTACCATCAGCAATATTATCTTAGGACATTTTTATGTCGCTGGACGTATTAAATACAAATATTATTCTTTTATTGTTTGTGTAATAAAAACCAATAGAACGACAGGTTTCCACCTTGTGAAGAAAAAGTTTTTTTTCAGAAGGCAAAACATTTTTTATAGGTAGGAAGAGGTTTCGCACGTGCAGGTATTCTAAACCAAGATAAAAATACGTGTCAAGTATCACACGGCCAAGTGCTTTAAGGATCTCTCGGAAGTTTCATGATAAAAGACTAGCGGTAATTTTTAAGAAAATGTTGAACCACAGTGTTTGCTGACTTGTACTTACAACAAAAAATTCAATGAGGATTGGATGTTTTCACCTAAAAAGTAGTTCTAATGCAGCTATTAACCTGTTTATTGACAAGATATCTAGACAAACCAAAAGAGCTCGTCAGTTAGTACCGTGATCATAATATCATGAGCACTCTGAATGCTAAGCCGTGCATAGAGCTCGAACGCTAATATACTGGTTAATACCCTGCGAGCAGAGGCCCTTCCTAGATAAGTCGCGACTTATCTGGGAAGATCAAAGGGCCTCTGTTCGCAGGGTAATTGGTTAAAGGCTGATGCGATCAAATCACAATCTTTCTCTCTTGGGAAATCGTTTTTCAAGCAGCCAATCAGGAGTTATTGAAACTAGCTGCTGCTAATAACTCGGATCGAAAAGGTGCTGTTTTGATACCACGAAATTAAGACGAGCCCGTCTTCTGCCACTGGATGCATAAAACATTTTTAATAATTAATAGCATGTTTGTTTTTACGAGCCAACGAGAGAGATAGCGAAATCTTTTGTACGTTCTGTTCTTTGAAGATTTTTTTAAAGGCAATAACCGATATTTCAGATATTGAACTAGACCCTTTCTCAACTGACAACAAAAACGTGTTGATATTGCGTTTGCTGTTTAATTTGTTTTATCACACTACGCCCACTGTACTGAAATAAAAAGACGCGCATAGGCGAAGACATCGCTCACTATATCAGTGCCCAACAGTGGCCATTGGCAGAAGTACGAGTGCCTCTGTCAGGTAAAGTATTGCAAGTTGTTCATGTTCTTAATTACTCGAACTAGAAAATTTACCTTGTACAACTTACCTTTCTTCATTCACTATATATAATCAGTATTAATTTCCCCAGAGTAAGTAAGTTAAAAAGATTCCTCTCCAGGGTAGATCGAAATAAGGTGCCGATTAATTTGTTCTGGGTAAGTTAAGGATATAGGGCTCAGCGGCTGGATCTCTTTCCACAACACCTTTGGACGCTTTCCCAAAAATAAAAGGTTTTCGTTAGAATCTCTGCTTTAGCTTCCCCATCTCTGTTTTTATTTTATTGCGCACAGGGAGGAATTGGATTGAGTGCACAGTTTTAATTTTGGACGACTGAATAAAGTTTTAATTTTGGACGACTGAATAAACTACTCAGTTAGACGTTAACAGTCAGTACGCCTATTTGTATAGGTAATAGCATGATTTGTAGTGATATTTGGCATAAATACCACGAGTGATATTTCGAAATTGGTATACGTAATTTCACGAGCCGTTTGGCGAGTGAAATTTGAGACAGTTTTGAAATATCACAAGTGGTATTTATTGGTATTTATGCCGAATATCATGTACAAATCATGCTATTATTCGTTTATACTACTACCCACAAAAGGTTTGTAATTTTCCCATGTAGGTATTTCAAATTAAGCTGAAATATCACTGCTCTAAGCCAATCAAATTGCAGAAATTTCTCATGTAGTAGTATCAAATATGAAACATTTGAAAACTGTCTCTTAGAAATATTTAGCTCTTCTACAAACCTGATTCAAATTGCTTGATTTTCGTTGACTCGGAGGACAGAACTTGAAAGCCATTTACGAGGTAAAGTGAAATCCGACAACACGACCGATTACTGATTACGTTTAGTCCATAGGAGCGACCTAATTTTTACTGTTCTCGATTATCAGAACTGAAGGATGGAGGAACTACTTTTAATGGCTCTTGATCACAGTAGATTAGGCCTGGAAAACAAATAAGGCCGAATTTTTGGAGTTCGACAAGTTTTAAACTTTACAAAATGTTGCCAACAAATCTGGGGGCTTGTAAACCGACCTTTTATACTTTTCATACATCAGATCTGAGGTGAAACAGTGGCTATGAGGCGCTCTTTTTATCATACAGACCTCGGACAGAATGCAGTAGTTCTCAACTTTTCAATACAAATTGCACTCATTTATATTCAGGACGATGGAAACACGCGTGGGCGTTTAGCGAAAGCGTTAAAAAAAATTCCAAAATCACCTATACGGCCAGCCGGTTCTCACTTTTTACTAGCGCCAAATCTGCAATGAGAGCTGAGTGTTTGAATGAAAGTTAATAGAGTTACGCTTCATCATAGTAAAGAATTTTTTTTATTATTATTTAATGATTTTAGAACGATGTGTAATCTTTAAAAGCGTTTGATACGCGCGGCATTTTGAGTACTCCTGCAAGTGGTGTTCATGAACGACTGAAAACAAACGGCACAGCGGTTAAAATTCCAAGAGAGACTACTAACAATCAATACAAGAAATATAACTCGGTAAAACATATACAGAAAAAAAAACAATTTTCATTTACGAAGACAATTAAAGTGTCTCTAAAATTCCTGAGTCTTATAGCTTTAGTTCGTGTTTTAAGCTTGCTTCCCGGTGTTTGCAAGCTATTTTCACAGATGACTTGAGGCAACAAAATCCCTCAAAGCTTCCTTTTACAGCCAGAGTTATGACAAATTATTCTTTGGGACGTTTTCTTTCTATTTGCGGTAAGAAAATGTCTAAACGCTTTATATATTTCTGTAAGCTTATATCAAACCTGATACTGGGTCAGATCATTGATTCAAATCTTATAAACGTGCATAGACTAAATAGTCGAACAAACTACGCTCGACCTCATTAAATTAGATACAAAAAAACAGACATCAAATACGACAATTACCCAGGCTTACCATTCGAGATTCAGCTCCTGAAAGCTATCAAGTAAGGCCAGAATCGCCTTCAGACGTTTTAACTCACCCACCTTACGCATCAAGCAAGGTTAAAAACGAAAACGATGCCATCCGAAATCGGATTTCCGACTTTGACAAGCGACTTTCCCAACCAAAAATCCAATAAACAAACTAGCTATAAATACCAAAAGACTCTTCATAGCAGCTGAATTTCGTTTTGTACATCCAGTGGAAAAAGACAGTTAAAAACATCACAAGATGACACAAAACTATGTCAGCTTCAGCTGTCAAAGTAAACAAGTTTGAACTCACCTGTCAATTTTTGACCAATCAGAGCATAAAAATTGGACGTAGAGCGCGACCAACGCGTGGCCGTGTCGAGAAGTCAAAAGCAACTGTCTTTCCTGCTTGCAATAGCTGCCTGAATTTTCTCATCCGCGGTCAGTTGGATTTCAAAATTGTAATTCTGCTACAGATAAACACAACATATTTCATATGAATTAAAAAAAAATAAACTTGGGCCTGCGATCATTTGAAAACTAATAACTTGTCAGCAGAGAGCTTAACGGGTCGACACCCGAGCCCACAATACGGTCAGGTGATACTGGTCAGCGAATACCCTGTTTTGACAGCTGTCAATTGATCACAATATTTCTGTGCAATATTTGTGCAATATCAGTTTTTCTTTTCTCCCAAACTAGCTAGAAAGTGTGGGATTGAACATTGGTTTCCCTGTGGTTCGGAAGGACGGGCGGGCGGGCGTTGTACGGTCACGAGATTGCCAAATTTTCTAGGATGGGTAGATTTACTTAGCTATGGGGCTCCGCTCGCGCGTGCTTCGCGCGCATGGAGTTCCGCTATAAAATTATCGTTCTGTATAAATTGGTGCAAATTTGGTGTGTACATCTAAGCCAAAATCTAAAGTCTCTTCCAGGTCCATGAGGTCAAAAATTTTACACTCTAAAATATCTGGTCCCAGTAGTCAGCTCATGGAATATTTAAAAAAAAAGATACGTGAATCATTCAAGCAATTGAATTAAGAAGATGTATTAAGTCGTCACTGGCAATTAACTATACAAGGAACTCCCAGGTAAAAAAACAGTAAGTAAATAAGTAAAATGGAAGGAGTAGATATGCCCAAAACCGGACAGATTCGGAGCCAGCATGCACTATGTTGTTAGAATTCTGCGGCATAAGAGCCCGGGGCGGGAGACAAATACATTTTTGCGTAGCCGAGAATAGAAAAGCGTAAAACGTGATAGAGTTCAAAGAACCGGATGGAAAATAACAATAATACAGATATCGAATGAAAACCCTGAATTTCGGTGAAGTTTTCCAGTTGGAACCAACCTTGTTAGCTTATTGTTATCATTTGCATTATTATTATCATCATCATTATCATCATCATCATCATCATTATTTTGGTGAATATCAAAGATAAATACCTAATTTGTTATGGTTTATTGTTCTCTTTTTCAGGAGGTGAAACTAGTTATGCATAAACCCACAGCAAAAATGCTGCCGATTGGGTTGCTCCTGTGTTTTGCAGTTCTGACAGTTCATAGTAAGAATTACGATATTCCTAGCACTTTGCATAAAAAATACTTACTACAATTTTACGAGTTCACAACAAGATTTATAATTGGATCAGTTAATTTTTGGTTTACAACCACGTTACCAGGCGAATATGTTGGCTGACGGGTTGTTGACAAAAGCGGGACTTTGCATGTAAAAAACAGTTTAGTTACCAACGGAGGGACCTCTTAACTTGTGTTTTTGCCAACCAATTTGGCAACCGTGACGTTAGCAGCAAACCTTATATATCTCTTGAGTCAGTGAAGTTTGGTGTTACTAATATTTCATCGCTTCTGCATGACTTACAATGTACCTATACCATCCCAAGTGTTATTCAAAGTGATACCATTATAACAAGAACGTTCATTTGTCTTCTCTTTAATAATGGCGTTACCAGCCACCACATCGTCACCAACTGTTTGCCCTCAGAAGACAACATCAGGCAAATGTTGCAGTATTCCATTCACGTACAGAGGGGTGACCTACAATTCTTGCACTTCTGTTAACCATAACAGACCCTGGTGCTCCTTGGATCCTGTGTACAAGGGAAGATGGGGCAACTGTCGTGAGTTTTAAATTGACTAAGCTAAATCATCTTTAGTGTGTATTTCAAGTAATATTGTTATTGAGGGCGACAAAAGGAGCCCCCAGACTATTCTTGGTCAGCGGCACTTTAAAAACTGTACAGCGAGATTTTTCTAAAGTCTGTCCACATTCTTGGGATGCCCGTATTGTACCAACCGATATGCATGGTATGTAGCCGCGAAGGCCCTAGTGACGAGATCCATCTGATTTCACTGTAGTCACGTGAATGCAAATGTAAGTGTTGCAACAATATTTGTTCGATTCGAAAAGGCTCGTATTAATTCAAGTATAAACGTAATGTACTAAATGCGGGACTTTTTGATTCAACTTGGGGGGCAGAACTCTATTTACCAAGGGAAATGAATGTAGAAACTGATCTCAGCTTAGTGCGGGACGAGTCTTCGGTGAGATACTTTTTATACATATTAGTGATTGCAAAATCTATATATAATTATTTGTGTGAATATATATAAGGTAATTCAGAGTACACTACAGTGCATTGTTTTTATATTTAAATACGTTTCCAAGCATGTTATGTCGCTGGTCAACTGAAAGCTTCAATAAGTTTTTTCATGATTTCCTATTACATTTCAACGACCTTTGATCATTGAACACGAATTGACTATCCGATTGAGTAATAAGACTTAAAAAAGTCATGACTGTATATACATTCCACGTTGTTTATGTCACGCATTACTGTTTTAATTGTACCTTTGGCTACGAATAATTTCTCTGATTCAGCCACACAATTATGAAAGCGGTTCTCAATAACAACAATCGCCCTTTTAAGGTAAAGGTGCATACATGTTCGCCCGCACTTCCTAACCTTTGGTTACTGGTAGTGATTATTCCATTAAGAGCATTGTCTTCTCTTTGATAGCGTTACCAGTCACCACAACGTCACCAACTGTTTGCCCTCAGAAGACAACATCAGGCAAATGTTGCAGTATTCCGTTCAAATACAGGGGGGTGACCTACAATTCTTGCACTTCAGCCAATCATAACAGACCATGGTGCTCCTTGGATTCTGTGTATAAGGGAAGATGGGGCAACTGCCGTGAGTTTTAAATTGACTTAGCTAAAGCCGAGCCTTAACTCTGTATTTCAAAGTTATATTATCATAATATCAAGAGCACTGTCTTTTTCTTTAATAGCCGCAGTAACCACAACGTTACCAACTGTTTGCCCTCAGAAGACAACATCAGGCAAATGTTGCAGTATTCCATTCGAATACAGGGGAGTAAACTATAGTTCTTGCACTTCTGCCAATCATAACAGACCCTGGTGCTCCTTGGATCCTGTGTACAAGGGAAGATGGGGCAACTGCCGTGAGTTTTAAATTGACTTAACTAAAGCCAAGCCTTAACTCTGTATTTCAAAGTTATATCATCATAGTATCAAGAGCATTGTCTTTTTCTTTAATAGCCGCAGTAACAACAACGTTACCAACTGTTTGTCCTCAGAAGACAACATCAGGCAAATGTTGCAGTATTCCATTCGAATACAGGGGAGTAAACTATAGTTCTTGCACTTCTGCCAACCATCACAGACCCTGGTGCTCCTTGGATCCTGTGTATAAGGGAAGATGGGGCAACTGCCGTGAGTTTTAAATTGACTTAACTAAAGCCGAGCCTTAACTCTGTGTTTCAAAGTTATATTATCATAGTATCAAGAGCATTGTCTTTTTCTTTAATAGCCGCAGTAACCACAACGTTACCAACTGTTTGCCCTCAGAAGACAACATCAGGCAAATGTTGCAGTATTCCATTCGAATACAGTGGAGTGACGTACAGTTCTTGCACCTCTGCCAATCATAACAGACCATGGTGTTCCTTGGATCCTGTGTATAAGGGAAGATGGGGCAACTGCCGTGAGTATAAATTGACTCAGCTATAAAGCATATTTAATGATATTACATCTTTAATGATGATAGTACGTACAGGTCAATGTTGTAGTATTCCATTCAAATACAAGCAAGTGACCTACAACTCTTGGACTACTGCTTATTACAACAGACCTTGGTGCTCCGTGAGGCCCCGCCAAAATCAGGGGGTGTCCTCCTATGTCGCTCGTGTGAATTTTAAAAATCGTCTTCTGTCGGTTTTTATAAATGCTTCACGTCGCTGTCGGAAATTGAACGAAAATGCTTTGTCTATATCGGAATTTTAGAAAAGGGGGATAGCGATGCGTTGTAAAGAAACCATTGCAGTTGTGCAATTTCTCAGTGAACATTTTGCGTATCGAACATCTATACATCGCCATTCACAATTAAGGGTGAGTTCCTTTCGTTGAATCCAAAAACGGATTTTAGATCTTAAAACGGATTTCGCGTTCCTTTCGCAAATCCAAATTCGGATTTTTGATCTGATGAATCCATTTTGAAAAAGGATTCACTGGATTTGAAATCCGAAGAATCCGAATCCAGATTAACGGATTAGTGATCTACGTTGTTCCATTCACAGTGGATTCAAAATTAGTCAGATGATCCAGCGATATTTCCAGTTGGAGTATTCCCGTAGAGTTACTGCCATTTGCAGTAAAACATCTCAAAACACTGGAAGATTGTTGCTGGTACAGTAAAAGATCCATGTGCTGACCATTTGTCGCTAAAGATTGCTTAAAAACAAAAATAAGTAAAAGGGACAAATGAATTGCTATCTTTCTACAAAATGCTTGTAGACGCGCTAGGCACTCGATCGTGTTACATAAAAAACCGAGCTACGAAACAGGATCAAACTGAGCAGACAAGCTTTAAATAATTTTCAACTTTAACGCGCTTCTTTCTTGATCTGTTTATGTTCCATCGTCCTTATTCGAACTGCCGACCACAAAATTCTGCGCGGTATAATCGCACGTCAAACAGTAGAAAACATGTCATTTCTTGAGAGGTCGTCATGTATATTGAACGCGTGTGCGAAAGGTTACCAAGGTCACAAATCCAATTTCGGATTTCACGTTCCTTTCCACCGCGAAATCCGGCAAATCTCGGATCAAAAATCCGTTTTGGATTCGCCGAAAGGAACACAGTCAACACACCTTAAGTGATCCACGTAATGAGGTGGTGGAAAAAAAAAGTTGAGGGTAGGGTCAGTGTGGGGTCGACATAGTGGTGGATGGAAATTAAAAAGAAAAATAAAAATAAAAAAGGGAAAATAAATCAATTGCGGAGGAGTAGGAGGGGTGTGAAGTAAGTAAAACATTGTCTTTCGTACTAAAAAGAGCTAGTTGGCCTTTGCCCTCTTTAATATGCACGATTTGCCCGCCAAAAATCAGTGAACCGGAACTAGGACAATCACAGCAGCAGGAAATAGGACTTGCATAGTCTCGTTTACGTCTCAGTGATTTTAAGTCACGGGTGTCTCTAAAATGAGGAAACGGAGGCGGAAGCGGACGGCGCACGGCGGATGGCGGACGGCGGAAAATAAAAATAAAACTAAATAAATGTATAATATAAATATATAAGATAGATAAATAATAAGACAAATATATATCTCTGGATCGTCGGAGAGAAGATAAACAGAGTAGGTAGTTATGAGGCCTGGTAGAATGTCACTTCCAGCTCGTGGCTGGGACGAAAAGATCTGTCGTTACAGTATGCGATATTCTTTTGCGATATGGTCTGTGCAGTGATATCGAAAAAAATGGACAAAAGAAGCCACGCTTGGCCGAGAGGTAAGTTAATTTTTGCAGTATCCTTATTTTTTTATACATTTGCTTTTTGCCGCAGCCCACTGCTTTAGATCTCTTCCGGGTCAACTGATTCCGATTTTTTAACAAACACACAAACTAAACCTCCAAAGGTGAAAGAGCGAGTTCGGCCTCCCGCCTAGATTCAAGCCTTTTTGAAGAGGGGTGAGAGGAGGGGGCTTTAAAAAAAGCCCGGGGGGTACTCCCTTATATAAGCCATATAGGTATGTGCCGCCCCAAAGAGTAGGGTTTTTGCGCCGTTTTGGTCTAAAAACGGTTCTAGACTTTGCCCAGTTTGGTCTGGAATCTAGTATGGTTTTCGAGGAAACTAAGGGAGTGTAACAGTATGAATGTATTCATCGGTTCAATTCCAAACGAATAAGAAAGAAAGAAAAACATGCGAATTAGAAATGGATTTTAAGAAATCTTTTTTGTTGCCGTTCTTATCTATTAAGTAATGATGATAATGATGACATAATTTATTAGCGGCCAGGTCTGAAGACGAGTGTGAAAAATGACATTTTTTTGGTCTAAAGTACCCTCACCAAGAATTCCCAGGAGTACCTCTCCAGGAAAAAAGACAAAATAACTTCAGATGGCTTGACTTAAAGGGATTGCTTTCAATGATATACATTTATTTAGTTATGTTTCTTTTATTTTCTCATTTTTCGTTTAATTTTAAAGACTTGGGCTACTTCAATCGAGCCACTATGCGACCGCTCGTCTTCAAACTAGCTAGTCAATCTGCGGACTAATACATTACACACAACAGTTATAAAATTATTGAATGGTTTACTTCAATAATTCACATGTTAATCTCTAATAGTTGAAGAAATCCGGTCTCTTATGACCAGCCTTCTGACCTTGTGCGAGCCTTGCTACTCATCGTTCTCCTATTTGCGGAGTAGCAAACGTGCAATCACTGATGAAATTTCCCCAGGAATAGCATTCTTCTTGGTTTTCAGAAAGCACGTGCGGTATGTTGCACGCTTGCGTGCATGAACTGTAGCAAAGGAAAGTCAGCCTCGACAACTAGTTTGGAAATTTCAAAAAAGAAACGTCTTAATTTTTGCCTTTTGAAAAACGTCAAAACAAAAATGACTAACCTTGTGTCTGATTTGTTTATTTTACTCTCTGTTCATTCAATGTGGGGGAGGATGGGGTAGGACTCCCATATCAATATCACGGGGATGCTCGTTGGAAAATTAGAATTTAAAAACCTTGTTAAGGACAACAACATGGACATAGCTCAGGCCAGGCTCAGGCTTTATTCAGTGACTCATTAAGAAAATCACACTCGCAGGTAAAGGCATTCGTGAAATTTTTTTATAGGTATTTCTTTTCACACATCCCTAAGCGAAACATTTGTGGGTAAGAATATGGACTTTCCGTCCTGAACACCTCAAGCCTGAGCGAAATTAGGGGTTAGCCGCGGCCACCCCTTTTTCTGTGAAATTTTATATTATTTTTAAAGAATTCTCAGTAAAATAAATATTATCTATACATGGGAAAGTGCCGCGGCCGCCCCCTTATATATTTCCGCCCTTGCTATTAAAGTGAGACCAAATTGAATGAAAAATGATGATGATGGTGATGATAATAATAATAATAATAATAATAATAATAGTAATAATAACTAAATAAATAAATGTATATCCCTTGAAAGCTGAAACCTAAACAATCCCTTAAAGTTAGGCTAACTATATCCATTTCGTCTTTTTGTTTGAACTCTTCCCTCTCACCCCTCTTCAAAAAGGTTTGAATCTAAGCGAGAGGCCGAACTCGCTCTTCCACCTTGTAAAGTTTTGTTTGTGTGTTTTGTGAGTCAGTTCACTCGGAAGAGATCTAAAGCAGTGGGCTGCGGCAAACAGCAAAATGTATATAAAAAAATAAAGATATATACTGCAAAAATTAACTTACCTCTAGGCCAAGCGTGGCTTCTTTTGTCCATTCTTTTTGACATCACACCACGGATCATATCGCAAAAGAATTTTGCTAACTGAAACGACAGAAACCACACATCTTTTCTTCCCAGCCACGAGTTAAAAGTGACATTCGAGCAGGCTTCATAACTGCCTCCTCTGTTTATCTTCTCTCCGACGATCCAGAGATGTAACAACTGATATTTGTATTTTTATTTTGAATTCTATTTGTCTTATTTATTTGTCTATCTTATATATTTATCTTTTACATTTATTTATCTATTTTTTTTGTTTTTTTTATTTTTCCGCCGTCCGCCGTCCGTTTCCTCATTTTACAGACACCCTTAAGTCACAGACAAGTTTGACTTTATTCCTCAAACACAATGAATTAACCAATGAAAAAGTTTCTCCTTTTCTAACTAACCAATCGAAAACGAAGACGTTTATCGAACTTAAAGTAACTAGAAAACCTAAACCATTAAAAATAGCACACGACTTTATCTTTATGAGATTCCTGCGCATTTTACTCATAGAGACAAAAGGTTATGACGTCATCTGCGTTAATTTATTCCACTTCAAAAAAACGGATAATTCGGTCCCTCCCATACTACTATCTTCACCTCGACACCCATCTATACCTTCCGCATAACACGTGTGTAGCATCCATTAATGAATGATTTTATGTTGACGAAAGAAACGAAAATGCTTTCTTCCTGCTTGCTGGCACGCTTCGAGGGGTCTTACTTATCGGTAGTTGAAACAAGCTTTTTTGTATGTTTTAGACGAGTTGCAATATTTTCGAGACAAAAACTACAAAATGCAATTAATATCGCGTCACATCTATTTTTTTTTTGTAGGTGGTTGACTTTGGTGTTGTTTAAACTACTAAACAGACCAGTGAGTATAAACGTTCTTTTAGTACTGGTAAATTTGAGTTATAAACTAACTCCAGTTGATAATTCTTGACCTGATGTTTAGTTGTTCTTCACTTCATCTACATCTTGACCCCGGAAATTAATATCTCACTTTCTAACCCATCTTGTGCAACTACTCATGACGCACGTGGTTTTTTTAGTACACATCTACTGGAGACGTAGATTTTTCTCACTTTCTTTATCTCTAGATTCAAAATAAATATTTATTTAATTCAATGCATGTAAGTAACGCTAAACCATTAAAAAGCTCCGAAATCAAAACAAATGCAGCTGAAGTAGTTATCGAACTCTCACTACTGTAAACGTACCGCATTTTCCTCACTTGCTTTAGATTCTGCCTGAAGTTTCACACGTGAATAATGTTTGGTTTATTTGAAGATACTACCACATGTATTTTTCTAGAGTTGTTCGGAACCACGTTCCACGCGTTGTTATGCCGTTTATGAATCCACGGTTAATTTCCTTACATAGGAAAAGCGTCAAAGCCACGGGTATCATACTATTTTTAAAAAGGATAAAGACCTTAGTATATTAAGTTGAAAAGGTCTGACTTTAATTTTTTTTTGGTTCGAATAAAGACTTTCTGAAAACCACGTAACTTGAATTGTTATGTCGAGGCGGTTTTTGGTTGTTTGCAGCCATTACAAAGAATATTTTCAAAAACTAACCCAATTTCATTTTATTACACACCTTAGGATTATCGAGCGAAATCGATTATTGACGGTGGCGGCGATTTTTCCGATTTTCTTTTATTTTACTGACATTCACTCTTAATGATTTAATAATTTTTTTACCTTCACAGGTTAGGAACCTAATGGTCTGCATTTCTCAGAAGTATATACCGGAACAGGACTTTAAAATGAGGGGTCAATATATTTTTGCTTTTATATGGTGTTGGGGACTGAGAGAAGTCTACGAGACCGGGTTGGTCAAGGATATATTTCTCACCATTAAAAAAGGCATTACAAAAGAAAAAAAGAAAAGAAAAAAGCTAAATATGCGACCGTTAGCTCTTAATTCGTCTAACCGAAGAGATGTGGAGTAGAAATTGGTTGCACTCTAACGAATAGAAAGCGCTCGTAGCGTTATTTTCAAGTGAGAGCTGTTAACATTAAATGTTTGCCAGTTATAAACGAAATCAACGATAGTATCACAGTTTGGTATTAATAAAGATGCGAATTAGATTAGCCACTAGCCTTCTATTGTCTTATTGAAACTAGAAAGTTCAAAAAACTCCTTACTTTACACAAGAAGCCCCGTCCCAAAACTGTTTAAAAAGTTTCCCACGTTTTCCCTCGACATCAATTACGTAGTGCTAGGCGAAATATAATGTCTTGATACGATAAAGAAAAGCATATCAACACAGCAAAGTGACATTTACAGTCAAACCAGGTCAAGCGTTCCCGTCGCTAACAAACTAATGAATTCATTAATGGAAAAATGATTTCGTTTGTTGATTCAATAATCCATTCATAAAATGAATAATCCAACGGTCAAATTGTACCTCGATTCAATAATCAAATGTTGATTTGGTTTATGAACAAAATCTACCTGTTCTTTATTCTTGTCTGTTGTGTTCAATCGTATTTGCTTCCCTTTTCCTGCCGTTTACGATTGCGTTTTTCATTGCCTTTAATCAAAATAACAGCTAGAATAGACAGACCGCAAACGCAAAAAAACTGACAAAGGCCGAGGATCGAAATCCACCAATCACCGCACATACACTGACCTCAGTTTGACCGTCGTGTTTTCTAAGAGGTCAGGCCTAGGTCTGTTGCACTGATTATTGGCAGCAAACTGGCGTACATGTAACAGTTTGTTTGGGTTTGAACTTCAGAACTCGCCAGCACTCGACTCTCAGAAAAAAAAGAGGAAAAAACAAAATTCTGAGGTCAACTTGTGGAAAGTTTAATTTTTCAAAAAACAGTAATCGAATCAACATTCGATTATGGAATCGAGGCTAAATATGACTATTGGATTGTTCATTTTATGAATGGATTATTGAATCAACAAACGAAATCATTTTTCCGTGAATGAATTCATTAGTTCGTTAGCGACGGGAACGCTTGACCTGGTTTGACTGTAACATTTTTTAATACGTTCAAAAGCTATTAAGGCCAAGATTGAGTTAAGGACCGATTTTATCAGTCATTCTATTTGTGACAACTGAAGGTGTAAATAGTCAGATGTGGCGTCACATTTCGCACCAGACATTCGTGTTCCAAATGCTCTGATACGATTCCAGTTCCGTGTGGCTATTCCAGTTCCGTGTGGCCAAGACGAGTTTCTCTATTGTTTTTGACCTGAATAATTTGGGATGCATAGGGGGTATCACGAACGACTTCAATACGGGCCACCCAACCAAGCGAGGGATCCTTCACATGGATAACCATAGCCGCTTCATCATATTGGACTGTAGCTTGAGGCATGCTATCGGGTATAAACACTTTTACCCGTGGTAGGCCGTCTTTGCTGAGGTCAATGATCTGGAAATTCACTTTTAAAAAAAAGGAAATGTCTTCTATGAGTGAAGAGCGCTATTATTATAGTATTCATAATTTTACGATTCTCGTTTTTAACAGAAGAAGTGAGGATTAGTACGGTGAGCGGTTTTATTTCAGTTACATGTGTCACCCAATAAATTAACTTTCCCTTACATGAAAATAAGTATGGCATCACAAACTAATAATTATAGCGGGAAATCATCTTACACTTTATGAGTGGACTTATGTTGCAGAAAAATCTTCCGGGCCGCTCTTTCTGAAAGTTTTGGATACGCCCCTACAATTTACTTTATTCCACACATGGAAAATTCATTTTATATGAGAAAAGATAATGCGTTGCAGCCTATAAGTTAAGAAAAAAAAGTAATTAAAATTACGTGATTTCCAAGAAAAAATCACATGGATTACACGGAACTGCAGCTTTTGTTTATTGGCAAAAACTTCGGAAACCATTCAGTGAAGTTTGAAATTTTCTTGACAAATTCTTCATATAGAAAGTTGTCTTGTCATCACACTGGTCTTTGGTTCACTTGTTTCAAGATGGTGGCCTAAGGTTCATTTACTTACTTTTCAAAATATCATCATCATCAACATCATTATCATTAAACATTATTATTGTTATTATTATTATTATTATTATTATTATTAACCCAAACGTTGTTTTTCCATTGCTCCTCAAGCATCATCATCATCTTCATCATCATCATCATTATCATTAAAGATTACTATTATTATTATTCATGTTCCAAACGTTGGTTGTCCATCGCCCCTCATGCATCTGCTTTTCACCTCCCATTTCAGCTCGAATGGTTTGTCACACAGCTCAGTAGGATATCGTTCACTTATCAGTTACAATAAGATCTTGTTTTATAATCGAATGATATATCAACATCCGCCGAGTAGAAAATAGTTAAGATAACGAGAGCGAATTAAGTGGTTTGCTTACTTCTTGCAGTTGCCTTCTTCTTGCAGAAAGGATTCCTACACAAATCATCTTTACAACAGTAGGGAATCCACTTTCCTTCCCCATTGTCAGTTATAATAGCAAAGTGTTTTCGGCTGCAGCGTGTCGGCTTTTTACTATCCCAGTTACTGTAGTCAAATTCGCTTCCATCGAACCACTTGTATTCCAAATTGTACTTGTCATCCCTCAGGCCTATCCAGCTAGCTTCGCTGTCGTGAATGGAATTGATAGTGTCCATTTTTGACTCACTGTCAGCTTTAACCAAGGTTGCACTTTGTTCCGTGCAATATTGCTCTCCTTGGGACCACGTCATAGCCGTGTCACCTCCGAGAAGACAAGAATTGTCCTGCAATTGCCAGGTATTTGGACACTGGCCACCTTTGAAGAAAAAAAAAAGAATCTCTTTTAGTGTTCCATACAATCGCCTTTGAAACCAAGTGATTGGACATGAAATTGTCTCTCTAACGTTTTTTACCTGGGTATATATTTAACAATTATTCTTTGAAATTATAATGAATAGTGGCTGAATTGGGTAAACCTTCCTAAAGCCTCTATTCATCGAGACTGAAAAGAATAATTGTTTAAGCATATACAGACTGGATATAAACGAAGTGATTTTAACAAAATCAGAAAGGAGACCACTTTAAGTACGTACACTTTGATTAACGGATCAAATCACGTGTGAAAAATATGCATGTTGAGACAATTAAAGTACATGTGCTGAAGTTAATTGTTAGGAAATATTGAGTTCAAAAAACGGCCTCTTCTACTCTAACTAGTAATAGTTGACACTAAGGCTGCCCCCGTTCTGTATATTGTCGGTCAATAGTATTCTTGCTGATTATGTTGCTCTTTGAAATATACCGATTAATAATGAAAATTTTCACACATATTCCATACAATAGGTGAGATAAATACTGGAAACGCAAGGTTCCATGCACAGTTTCAGCTCGATTTACACAGCTTTGATCAAAACATTCTCAGTTTCGAGAATAGTTTATTCTAAACCAAACGAAAAGATTCAATTAGAAGTTGAATTTTTCGCTATTTCTCTTTCACTTTTTACTTTCAGTTCATTTTATTTGCTGGAAAGTAAGCCTTAGAAATTAAAAGGACGTTTGATCGATTCACACTCGGGCATTCTAGTCTTATTTGAAACTTTATAACGCAGGGACATCTGTGAGCAGGGAAAAAGTCAGCACAGAATTTGATTGTCGGCGAATTCATGTAATTGTCCATCAATCTGCTAGTGATAAGCTAGCCGTTGTTCTCTCTTCTTCTTTGTTTGGAGCTGAGTCTTATTCCGGTCAAAGAGAGAGAAAGAGTCTGTCAAGGTTTCCAATATAAATCAAAGATTTGTGAAGTCGTGTCTGGCAAACCTCCAAGTGTTTACATATACACAGTTAAACGCACCTTATAACCTCATCTGCGCTTAAAGAGTGTCTTTGGTCCATAACTTTCAAAACAACTGCTCCACAGAATGTCACTGCGTAACGCAAAAGAGTATCGAAGTATGACTGCACAATAAATGTCACAAAATCTACCTGAGCGGTCCCTTCGGAATTTTCTGTCTTTACGTCATCCTAACCATTTCGTACTTGCGGGAGCAAACCATAGAAACGTCATCATTACCTACCGATTCCTCGCGGCCCCTGTTCGAGCAAATCGAGATTTTTTCTAGTATACTGACTGTATATTTGAACTGTAAGTACTGTCCTTAATATACGCGCGAGTTACTAGGGTGCCTTTCGGGATTTCGCCTCTGGGCGAAATCCCTGCGGGGGCAATAAATAGTATAGTTGTAAACCTTCCTTAGAGCAAAAAATTCAGCTTTTAGTAAATGAATTGAGGCTGTTTTGAATTCTTTGAGGTCTTTTCTTGCATTCTTAAACATCGACCCTAGGACTTAGAATGATCTCTAAAAAATGGGAAAACACGCATTATCCACTCGCTAGGAGGTGAATATTATTGTTAAATAGTCCGAGATAACAAATCAACCAGATTGCTTTAAACACTAAGATCACTGAGTGCGTATATACTAGATTATTATTGATATATAAAACTAGGCATCTTTAGTACAGAAGACAAAAAAACCTTGCGGCATCTTTTCACATGTGAAAACCTTCTCTTCTTCGCAGTTCCAGTCCTTCTATGTTGTCCCCCTCGAGGAGCACGCAATGCTCTTGGTAGTTGTTGTTGTTCGGCTCATTGTCTGCCCAACGTGCATCACCTGATGCTAACTTCTGGCCATCCGACCACACGAATACACGGGCGCCCCAGCCGTCATCTAAACCAATCCGCTGTTCACTGCCATTTGATCCTAGCAAAAACATACTGTTCTTCTTCATTTAAGACACTCGTTAAACTGCCATCCTGAGATTTACAGTGTTTCGCGGCAGAGTAAAACGATTTTCGTTGGTTTTCGTCAGTTCGTCCAAATGATTTGTGGCAAAACGACCTCTCGTGTACATTATGCGAACTCCATCCACCACTACATCCTTAAAAGGGAAGAAGAGAGCATTTACATTTATCATTTAAACCACAAATGAGCAACATCAAAAATAGTTTACATTTATTTTACAAAATACATAGTCTTAAGGAAACCTGTTGAGGAGCTTGGTTTTTTGCAGGTAAACGACCCTGCGGATGAGCATCTGATGTATCGCCATAAACCGGATCCTCCATTTCTATACAGCAGTCATAAGTGGACGTTATTGGGCTGTTTGTGTTTTTCTTAATATTCAAAAAAGGAGGATCTTCCATTCTCGAGCCGTCCATCCAACGATAGCCCTCGTCTTTGTAGTTGGTCGTTAGTCCAAGCCACCGCCCTTGACACGAAGTCTCTATATGTCCACGCACAAAAGCATTTTCTTCTTCACTATGGATAGTGACAAGACAAGACCGGCACCTTGTTCATTACACATCGCCTGAGCCTTATCCCAATCGCTTACGAGGTCGTCAATAATCATGTAACAATTTTAAGTCTTGATCCCCAAGTTAGCTCAAGTTTGTGATAACCCCAAGGCCATTTTCCTTGCTGTGGACACACGTCACTTCCTACAGGGAAATGGTTTGAACAAGAGAATGACTCTAAGGTGAGAATGAAATAAAGTAGAACACTTGGGGCTTTCCATAGAGACACCTTTTCTTTCATCATGCTTTATCTTTCATTGGTCTTTTATGACATAAAAAAAATAACAAATTTTGTTCTTCGTGAGATATTGGTATCCATTTAGGGAATCTTTACAATTAAAAAAAAATTGGCCTTTCAAAAACTCCGAAATAATGAAAACTTTGATATATTCAGATGTCACTTTTAGCATTATTACAGATTAGGTTGTGTTATGTTAATGGCAAAATCAACATACATATATCAAGTGCTTTCCCTCTGAGGATACTCTTTAGTGATACAACTGTTTAATGGTTAAAAGAGAGGAAATGGCAGCACCTGCCTCTGTGGAGAATGACAGGTAGGTGGGACCCGGCTTCAAGTCCTTGTGACGCGGATTTCCCTTTCGTAAAGATCGCTTTAGAGACTTTAAACATTTTTTGACCCATTTATTGTTTTATTATTATTTTGTCACACACACACAAAATATACATATAAAATTTACAAAAATTCACCAGTGATATCTTTAAACAGGAACGATGTGTAATCAAAAAATGGCAAAGGTTTTGAAAATTGTTTACACAGAGGTAAAGGGGCAAATAATAGGGACGCCGAGACGGTGGCCTTGTTAACTTTGGTTATTCAATTATCATCAGTAACAGATCCCACACTTTTCAGGATACTGGGTTCAAATTTACCCCAACCACAAGGAGACTGAATATATATCAGATTCCAATATTAGAGCTGGCGTTGAAACCCGCCACTTCCCACTTACATAATTTACTTTAGTATTTCTCTCCCGTCCTTCCATCCCTAACATTTTACGGGCCACCTTCCCCTGAGGTTGGTATTTACTTCTTCCATTGTTGTCCTTTCCTAATGTTTATTTGAGAGCGTCATAGAGGTGTAAATGATTCAGTTGAATTTGGGAGTGATGCCTATAAAGACACTTAGTCACAATGCTTGTTTGCTTTTGTTTAGGAATCTCTATCCGACAGCTTTCAAGTCCATCTATCATATTAAAATCTAAATCATTTCTCCGATTAAACTGTATATGGTCTGTGAGATAGAAACCAACACCTCGAGTGTTGTCCTAAAAATTTTTAACCAGGAAGCGAGATATTGTGACAGCTATCTTCAGTAAACCTTGTCTCAGATAGTGCTATAATATCTGGTTGATCGTAAGTAAGGTTTTTAGACAGGCTGTGAATATTGAAATGCATTAACGAGAATTCTTTGTTTTTGATATTCTATATACATTCTTGATCTAGCTTGTCTTACATTATATTATGTAGATTCATTGAATTCACCATTTCCTACCTCTTCACTTGCCTTATCTGGATTTCCAATAACGTCTCTGAACAAGTCGTTGGAGACAAATAGGTTACCAGCCGCGTGATAAATCCAAGCATCTGTTTCTTTCAAAAGTTCTTCGTTAGATAAATTAAGGAATGGAAGTTCACTCAATGATTGCATTAAGTCTTAATCGACTCTTTATTACGTGGTAGTTGTCTTTAATACTTCTCCAAATTGAAGAGAAATTTTAAAAAGAAACAAAATACCTGGCAGTAGGGATCGACCAATTCAGCCACCCTGAAAGCGCTACTTACTTGAATTCTTCAAGATCTTCATAGTCGAATGCGCGTAACTCCTTAATAATTTAGATTCAGCCGTTCTGGGACCAGATAAACTTCCATTTGATACTTTTCCTATATCTGTTTACTGCTCCGTACAGCTTCTTCCTTCTTTCCGTCAAAGATTCTGAGATGTAAATGTTCTCGCCCACAATAAGCCATTTAGATCTGGCCTCTGGCTCGGTTTAAGTTCAGGCAGGGCATTTCTTTTGCCATAGACAGCATTCCGTACGTCCCGTCGTGTAAACTTAACGATGATCTTCGGCAGTGCCTCGTTAATGTAGCTTGGAAGAGGGTGAGCAATGGATATATCGTTATCGTTGATATCTAAATCCAACGCCTTACCAATATTCACCAAGATAGATTCACTGGAGAAATTGGCGTTAGACTTATAGCATGCCTCATATATTGAGCCATATCCCATCGATTCCATCATTAACTTCGAATAGTAAAGACACGGTTGCTTTCCATGTCTTTCTTCGTTTCCTTCACCGTTTTGTTTAGGGAAGCTATCTTCTCGTTTGCGGACTCCCACTGCTTCACAAGCTGGTCATACTGCTTCGCGATAAATCAGTACGGTGCTGAAAGTTCCGCGAAGTTTGTTTCCAGGCGTTTCAACTTCTCCATAACTGGCGCCATTTCGCTCTTAAGGATTTCTTTGAACTGTTCCAATACTGCCATACTTAATACAAGGAATACACTAAAACCACTTAAAACAACCAGCTACGGTCACCACATATAGGTTTCACTTTCAGCCATATGGCTGCCAAATAACACATAAATATCGAAGAAAATAGGTCTAGAACACCGTCTCCATTCGAGTGCTCCTTCATTAGTGCCGACCACGTTTAAACAGAAAGTGTTTACTTACTGCGATTTTGTAATAAATACAAATGTAGTAACCAATAGTTGAGTGGATTAATGATAAGTGTGTTTCTGAAACTTGAAAACTGGGCAGAAAAAACATTGTTTAATACCATTCGACGATCAAATAATTACAAACCGCAAGGTCCGCGAAGCAAATTAAAGGAAACAAGAACCCTCTTTCAGCCGCGTTCAGTCTCCCTTGCTTGCATATTAGATCGAGAAATGAGGAAGCGATTATTTCTACAAGAAACAGGATTTACTCGCTAAAGGTTTTTTACTTCCTACTTTATCAGCGTCGATACTTTTTATTTGTTTCTGAATTGATTTAGTACGCGTCTTAACGACGACTGGAAATACGCCTGCGGTCGCAGGCTATACACGTGTATAAATACACAAAAATTCACGTGCCTCGATTCCAGAGAAATTACAACACGCGACCATCGCAGTTTTGCTAATTATGATTCGTATTTTTTCTTTCAACCCCTCAGTAGTGTTCACTTGTCCAAAGTAATCAATGCTTTGAAGCGATAGAATTCGTGGATCGACACGTTTCGGAAAAGCTCAAAATTTAAAGGGACTGGTTCACGATAATACGCATGCGCGCCGTTTGTCTCTTCAGAATAAATTTGTCGGGTCAACACTAAATTCGAAATCGCCATTACCGGTACAATCATTGAAAATCCATCGTTTTATTCGGACATCCGTCGCTTTGGCTGGTCTAGTTATACTTCGGTAGTGGTGATTAACGTGTGGTTGTGTCGTTTGACTGGTTACGTTTTAAGAAGACGCAAAAAATAATGTTTTGATCATGGAGGTTCAGACGAGCATCGTGGCCGTCCGGCAACAGGAGGTTCTCAAGAGTCTCTGGAGATAGACAAGCTTAGCCCATCGATCTGGTATGGTTCTAGGAGTAGTGTGTGGCATACGAAAAGAATACACGACCCTTGGAAAGTGGTTAAAGACATGAGTTCGTTCAACTTAGATTTGATTTTTGACTCCGACCTGTAGTTATACCGCAAGTGACAGGCCGCGCGATCTTCATCGATCTGGTACACTTGAAATGTTCCTTGTATCTTTGCTTTACGATCGTATATGTTTAAGAATTGATGTTTTTAAAATAAATGATTGCCTGAATATTCTGTTTATAATCTAGTTTCTTTATGTGTGCTACTCGATAACATTTGTTTTGCGGAACACTGACCCGATGCAACGCGAATGAATTTGTTCATTTGCTGATAAGCAATTGAAATTTATGCTCAATTAAGGATAATCTTTATACTCATCCGTTGCGTGTTTTTGTCACCGATCAGGCGCTATTTGTAGGTATTTCTGGGTTTATATAAGGCGAACTGAGAGAACAGTAAAAAGATGTTTGTTTACAAATTTTGTTTGCCGATCGGTGACTGTTTTGTTAGCGTGGGTACGACCTCGTAAAAATACACGTTGGTAAATGTTTGTTTCAAAGCAGGGCAGGGCTGTAAATCTTATTCCTATCGGCTGCAACATATATCTGAGGAGTGGCAAAGAATAAACTTGAATTATGGGGATAAATAAAATCAAACCAAATGCCCGGAAATACTCTCGCGTCGCGAACAATTAATTTCAATTTTGTAAATTTACTTGCGTGCATCTAACTCGCTTCCGATTGGTTGAAAAACAATCAGCTACTGTCAACTCACACATGCGCATTATCGTGAACCAGTCCCTTTAATCTTTCATAAGCTTTCTTCGCAAAACATGGGTTTCGATCACGCAACGATTCTTATTCCCAGTTTCCACGGTCTCCGCTAGGAACGCCTGGCACAATGACCTCCCTTTTGTCTCCTAAATACGAAGAAAAACGCGTTGCGGATTATGTGTCTCGCTGCTTACGCAAGGGACACTAAAAACGGAACTGAAAAACAAGAAACTAGGTAAACGATAACCGTCTAACACCATTTACAAATCGAGTTATTACAAACAACGAGGTAACTGATGCAAATTAAAGAAGCCGGGACAGGATAAGAGTGAAACTTGAAACTTATTTCAGTGAAAGAAAACTGGCTAACACCTTTTGATGATCAAGTTATCACAAATAACCAGCTGGGCACCTGATGCAAAATTCGAAAAGAAACCGATACGTGAGACTTGAAACTCGTGTGGAGGTGTGTTCGAGCAACTCGCTCGCT